TACTGAAGTCTTAAATTTGGTTTTCAGCACCTACATCAGGCAAACACCTGTAGCTCCATTTCTAGGGTATCCCACAACCCCTTCTACCCTCTGTGGGCACACATGTAGCATACACATGCACAAATAAAAAATTTTGAAGTATTTTTAAATTAAGTACAGTCAAGGGTATTAGGATTTTATTATCAAAGAAACGTAAATTGGGTACAAATAAGACTAATGATATTTCAATTTTAAAGTATTTTTAAATTAAGTACAGTCAAGGGTATTAGGAGTTTATTATCAAAGAAACATTATAAATTGGGTACAAATAAGACTAATCATATTTCAAACAAATACTCCCCTGCATACCAATTCAGTTCCCCATAATCTGAATAAGAGATAAGAATACCTTAAGTATAGATGGACTCTAACTCAGTTGGAGGATATACCTCTCTGTGGTTTTACTGTTTATTTTCTTTTGAGTGGTATATATCCCAGGCTGGCCTCAAACTCACTGTGTAGTTGAGGATGACCTTGAACTTCTGATCCTCCACCCTCTACTTCCTGAGTGCTGGAATTACAGTGTTTATCTTCTCTGTATTTTAAGTTGATATTTGGTTTATCATTTAATCTCAAGAGTTTTAGTAGCTTGAATAAGTTGATAATCTTTTGGGTAGGTTAACCAAACAAATTTACTTGTGTCCATAAAGCTGAGAACCTTGTCCTTGATTTATCAAAGTGTTGACACTATTTGGTAAGCAGCCAGTCAGTCTAGGAGATGATTTTATATTGCCATGGGAAAGTCAGAGGCCAATGTGAATTTTTTTCAATGAAGTAGAATAAAAGACAAACTGAAAAGAAAATGAAATTTTGGGGTCATTTAAAGGAAAGTTGATGTGTCTGAGTGATAATGAACTTGTAAGTTCACTACTTTGGGGATAATGAGACAGGGTCTCAGTATAGCTCAGGTTAACTTTGAACTCATGACCCTCTTGCTTCTGTATCCTTAAGTAGTTCTGGGTCTAACAGGTGTGTACCACCATACCCAGCAGAGCAGGACTTACTTCTTTCTCTTTTTTTTTCTTTTTTTTTTTTTGTTTTTTTTCCCAAGAATGGCACTTAATTCTAATGAAAATGAAAACCTCTGCTAGCAAACAAAACAGATTATTTCATACTTTAATTAACAAAACAGTAGGCATTCATAATCTCAATCCATTATAGTAGTAAAAATAATTTTTAAAGGTACTCAAAGAGTACTCTTTTAATACTGTTAAAATTAGGAGTATAAGGCTCTTAGTTTAAATGAAAAGTTGAGGGTAGTCAGTAGTAATTAAATTTTATATTATTGTCTTTTGTTCTCATTGCTCTGTCTAATGAAATTGGTTTCGAAAATCTCGGGTCTGCCAGAGTCTCTCAGGGTCTAAGTTAAAACATGGTTTTTCTTAAAACAGAATGTGGATTATATACTCAGCTAACTCAGTTGGCAGAAAATGAAACTAATTGTCTTAGGGCTTTGGAGACTTGTTTTTACAGTCAGAGGGGAAAGATGAGAGTTAGGCTGAAGTATGAGCTGACAGTAATGATATTTACACCTGGTAACCAGCTCTGGCTTGATTAACAATAGGTCTTTGGACACCGTTTCAATGTACATGAAGTTCAGTTTTTTTTAAAAGTGAAGGTACTTTATACTTAAAGTGCTAATATTCTATAAAATTCATAAAACTTTTCCAGTATACTTTTTCAAAAAATCTCCCAGGGTTCAGTGAGATGGCTTGGCACTTGCTCCCAAACCTGACAACCAGAGTTTGGTCCCAAAGACACATGGTGGGAAAAGAGAACTGTAACTGACCTCTTCAACACACCACACATCCGAAATTGTTTTTAAGAAAATCTACCTTTCTTCCGTCATCAGGCTGTCTTCTTTACCCCAGTAATTGTTTCCTTTGCTGTGTAGAAGCTTTTTTTATTTGATTGAATCCCATTTGTCAATTCTTTCTATTTTGTCCTGAGTTATTGAAACCTATTCCAAAAGCCTTTGCCTTTGTTTCTGTCTTGTGTTTTCCATATAATTTCTTCTAGCATGTTAATCTTTCATCTTTCATTAAGAACTTTGACACACTTTGAATTGATTTTTATACAGAGAATAGAGAGGAAAGGGTCTAGTTTCAGTCTTCTACATGTGGATAGCTTGTCTTCATAGTCCCTTTTGTGAGAGTGTCTTCTGTCTAGTGTATGCTATTGTTAAGAATCAGTGACTGTAGTTATTTGGGTTTCTTTCTGAGTCCTCTGGTCTGTTCTATTGGTCTCCGTGACTATTTCTGTGACTGTACAATATTGTTTTGTTACTATGGCTTCAAAAATCAGATATGGTGTTACTTCCAGCATTGCTCCTTTTGCTCAGAAGTGCTTTGGTGATTCAGAGTCTTTTGTGTTTTTACTTGAATTTCATGATTTTTTTTCTAGTTTTGTGAAGAATTTGTCTGGAATTTTGATGGTATTTGATATGATATCAATATTCAGAAATGCAAAGAACTCAAAAAGTTAAGCACTAAAATTAATTTTAAAATCTATTTTCGATAAAAGGAAAAAGATAATTCAATCAGTATGTGAGTGAATTTAAAAAAATAGTTCTCAAAATAAGTACAAGTAGCCAATAAGTATATAGTGGTGGAGGAAACACCTCAATTCCTTGACTATAAATGAAATCAGATTAAAACCACACTGAGATTCCATCTCAGTCCAGTCAGAATAACTTTCATTAAGAAAACAAATGCTGCCAATAAGGGGAAAATACAACCCTTATGTGTAGGGAAGTAAATTGTCAGCCACTTTGGAAACAATATGGAAATTCCACAAAAAAAAAAAAACCTAAGCATAAAGTTAAGTAAGATGACTCAGCAAGTAAAATCGGTTTTCATGTGTTTGATGGCCAGAGTTCCACCCTGGGAACCCACCTAAAGGTAGAAGGAGAGACCCCTGTTCCATTAAGCTTTTCCTTTGACCTTCACACATGTGCCATGGCCTACATTCCCTCCCCTCACTTATCATCCATACACACACTAAACAATAGCTTTTTATTTAACTAAGAATAAGGCTACCACATGATCCTATTATATACTACTCCTGACTATATGCAGAGGACTCAGAATCAATATAGAGTAGAAATACCTGCACATTTATGTCTATTACAACACTATAATAGCTAAATTATAAAATCAGCCTAGAGGCCCAGTGGTGGACAAATGGGTGAAGAACATGTGTATATATGTGGAGGATTATTCAATCATAAAAAATTAAGTTGTCATTTGAAGGAAAGTAGATATAACAATAGATCTAGATCACTTTTAAGTGAAATAAGCTGGACTGTAAAGGATAAGAATTTTGTTGAGGGGGTTAATATGATCAAAGTACTTTGTATTGATGTATGAACATGCTGTGATAAAACCCATCACTGTGCAAATATGTACTAATATTTTTAAATTTTATTTTTAAAATTAATTTTAACATGTTTTTAATTGACATAGAATTATGTCAATTTTCTGCCTTCCTTTCCTCACTCTAGCCCCTTCAAGTACCTATCTTCTAGCCCCTCCATGTATCCCCCATTCTTAATCTGATAGTCGTTTTTCTTTGATTATCATTGTTTAATACATATGTGTGTATGCACAAATACATAAATATAACTTGCTGAGTCTGCTTTTGTTGTTTTTGTATATGTGGTTTCAAGGCTGACCCCTCTTCATTAACATCCAATAAGTGTGCTTGTCCCTGAGAGAGACTAATTTTCCTTTTCCCAGCAGTCATTAGTTATCTGTAACATTTTAAAGGCAGTTGGAGAGAGGTACTGAGTGTATACAACTCTTCCAGAGGGTACCTAAGTTCTGGTTCCAAACACCCACATCAGATGGTTCATAATCACTTGTAACTCCCACACACACACACACACACACACACACACACACACACACACACACGATACATATTTAAAGTAATAAAAATCATCTTAAAAAAATAAAAATTTCCCAGAACCCATGAAAAGCCAGATGTGGTAGTGTGTATCTCTGTTCCAAGCACTCCTACAGCAAAGTGAAAAGTGGAAAAAGGAGAATTGCCCAGAAGCTCTCAGACCAATTAGTCTTGTTTCTGCATCAGTGGTGAATAGAGCCTTCTCAAACAAGATGGAAGGTTGACCTCTGACCTCTACATGTATACCACAGCACATGTGCACACTCACACAGAGATACAAGAAAAATGGGGAATTGTCAAGAAGAGAAAGAGAAAAGAATCTTTTCAGTTTTGTACCTAGAAGTCATGATCCATGGGGGAAACTGGAAATAGTTCTGTAGAGCTTACTCTAAGATTGTGAGGAAAGGAAAACTGTGAAAGATGAGATTGGAGAGCTAGGCAGGAGGCAGATCAATTGTGTGTGAAGGATTTGGACTTCATAACAAAAGTGGTGGGGAGTGACCTCTCATCTCTCTTTCAGAAAAAAAAAAGTTTCTGTGGTATTGTGAAGGATGGATTAGAGAGCCTGGAAACAGGAAAGCCAATTAATAGACTATGGTAACTCAGGCAGAAAAGGAGGCCTAAACTAAAAACATAATACTGGAGAGTACAAGATATGCAAAGACTAGGTAACAAGGAAACAGAACCCACAAAGCAGTATGTGAGACAGTAAGAGCCAAGTAGGGAATATAGTTTATTTTTCATCTAAAACTTACTTGTCAGCAATGAATTAAATACTTCAAAAGTAGAAAATGTCTTTCTATGAACTTAGCTATAACCAATGTGATTTAAATCCAGTCATTTTGTCCAAAATTTACCAACATTATTAGAGGCTATTTGCAATACCTAAATGACTGAAGTCCCAACATGCTTAGGGCCAAAATGTGCAACATACCCCACACCTTCGTGGTAGAGTGGGGAAACAGAACTAAAATAAAGGTTTGAGAGATTTTAATTAACAGAAATGGCTGTACCTAGTCTTTAAGTCTGTCCAAAGCAAATGGAGCGAATGCCTTCTAATCCTTCAGAGCTTCATCTGACATTGACCTCAGAAAAAAGAGCCTCTCTCCTACATCATCAGACTGACTTTCTCTACTTCCTTCTTGTTGTTCTGTGCAGTTCTTTGATCTTGGGATACTCTTTAAAATAGAGGAACGAGAAGAGGAAAAAAGCTAAAATGAGTGTTTTGAAAATCTAAAAAAATAATAAATTAGAATGCATTTTAAATGCATTGCAGGGCTGGCCTTATGATCGAGCTCTTGGCTATCATACACACAGCCATGGGTTGGATTCTCAGCATGGCAAAAGTAGATCAATAAATGTATAAATAAAGAAATGTACCACAAAAAATCTATACCCATTATCCAAGCCTTTTAAAATTTGAACTTTTTTTTTTTTTTTTTTTTTGGAAAGCTGTTCTCTCACCATGTTGGTTTCATTTCTGTTGGTTGTTGCTCTCTCCATAGTTGTACCCATTTTACCTGATAGAAAACAATTGGAAAACTAGGGTTACTAACATTCATTGTGGCATTACTTAATTGTATAACTGTAGGACTAATAATAGCATTAATATGAATTTTCAAGTTGTGTAGCATGAGTAATAAAAACCCAGAGACGGATATTGGGGCTAAAGCTGAAGATCAGAGAAGCAAAGCGGCCAGCCACTAGAGAGTTCTCATCTCTACCAATGCTCAGACCTAAAGGGTGATCCTGTCCTCAGATTGCATCTCTAGACTGCACTGCTCCTCAGACTGCATATCCAGACTGCATCTGTCTCCACCAAACCTCAGATTGCACTGAGCTCCTGTCTCCTCCCACCTTATATTCCTTGTTCGTGCTGGGATTAAAGGCTTAGAATCCCAACTGCTGAGATCACCTTTGTGTGACCTCTGTTTCTCTTTTAGATTGGATCACTTTTGTGTAGCTCAGGGTGGCCTTGAACTAACAGAGATCTGTCTGCCTGTCTCTCAAGTGCTGGGATTAAAGGTACGTGCCAGCACTACCTGGCCTATATGGCTAGCTAGTGCATCGAGCTTTGCACTCTGATCTTCAGGAAAGCTTTATTTTGTCATTAACAAAAATATCACAAAATTGTTGTTTTAGAAAATGATATTTTAAAGTTGGGGTAGTAGGCCTTTTCTCTATTGAAAGCTTATGTTCTATAGTAAGAAAACTCATTTGAGAATTACTTGTAAACAAAAAATTGAGAGTCTACAAAAATGAACCTCTAACATTTAAAAGAAGTGAGATGATAAACCAAGCCCATGTACATATATACACTATGATAACCCAGACATGTATTCCACAAGAATACTAGTATGGTAAAGAACAAGCAAAGTATAAAAGTGGGGGTTTAGAAAGAGAAGAAGCAGGGGGAGTGATAGATGCAGGCTGAAATGGTAGGTAGGAAAGAGAAATGGAGGGTGCTCTATAGTAAGCATGTCTAGGCTAGGTGTAAACTGGAGGAACCCTGATAAGTTTGAATATTGCTAAATATTCCATACAAAAGTTGAGACACTGATAATAATTATTCATTGCTTAGCTGAATTCAAATCTATCTCTTTAAAAAAAAAACGAAAACATCCTGTTCCTCTCCCGAGCAACCTGTGAACATATTGAGTCATTGTCACCCATTAAAACTGTCTTGATAAGGGTGCAGTTTACTTTTTAAATTTTTTTTCTAAATTCATGTTTAGAAAATACTGACTCTATTCTCCCTGTCTGAACTTCTGTAAAATTTTATGGTAGACAAAAGAAATTACAAATAAGTTTCATCACCTTTTAACACCACAAACACAGCTTTAAAAGGTTCAGGTTGCCTCAAAGCTTATAGAATATTTAAGAGGTGCTTTTTTGTGAAAGATCTAGATTTGAGCTAGTTGTGGTTTCTGCCTCTGCCCGAAATTTTAGCCATCATAATGAGAAATTAGTGAAGTCAAGGTTAAAGGTGAGAGCAAGAACTTGCTTTCAGAACAGAGGGCTAGTAAGTAAATAAGTTCTCAGGCATATTCATTTTCCACTTCACTGGGCTTCATGTCAATTTACAAACGTAGAACAATATCTACATCCAGTCTTCAGGTTCTTCTACTAAGGAGAACCTTCTATTTCTTCTCAGAAAGCTCAAAGAAATGCTAAGAGCTTAGGATGTGGGAGAAGACTGTCAAACTCAAATAGCTTATCACAGTTATGTTATCACTGAAGACAAATCCTCAATTCTTTAAACACCAGCGGGTGTGATGGGAAATTCATGTGAATTTATAGATTTCTCGGTGCCCGTGCTTTCTAAGACAGGTGATTAGCAAAAGCCACAAGCTGCAGTTTTGACATAGTACAAGTCAGGGAGTGAGGGATGACACAAACCTGAGCCAAATTATAAGAAACAAACTCCTTGGATTTTGACCTATCTCGGGGGTGTGGGGGAGATTTATCCCTTAGTGAAAACAGAATCATTTTCTTATAGAAGATAAGATGACATCCAGAGCTAAGACTCTGGTGATTCTGAGTCCCAGGCTTTAGGGCATTCCCCAAATAGGGATTGCTTGAATTGTATCAAAATCTCTAGTATGTGCCAACAAATTAGAAGGCACCATTAACTCATCCAGACTGCACAATGAACAGGGGAGGAGGGATTCTTGACCAAGACCATTGGAGCAAAACTTCCTTCTACTTGGAAATATCTGAAAAGGAAGGACCCATGTTTGCCTGGTAAACCTAGGAGGTGTGTCGAAAAATGACATGCCACCCTTCCTCTACACAAGTTTAAGCAATTCAATTCTTTTGAAACTGGAGGAACCAGAATTCCATCCAAGAGGGCTATTAAGTACTTAACCTTCAAATAGTCCTTGTGTAATAGCCCAACCCATTTTTACTTCATTGCCCTAATTGCCTGATTTATTTGTGGCAGAGAGAAAAAGTGTTAGACAAGAATTATGGAGGAAGTAGGCAATTGCTTTTGTTTCTTGTTTCTTTTTTAGAATGGGGTGAACTATAGTTCAGGGAGGGGCGTAATAATAGTTAAGAGTTCTACAACAGAACACCGAGTTTAATGTTTAACCAAGGCTGCCAGTAATACATCTTGGTGCCACATAGCATGACACAAAACATCAATAGGTTCTTTTCTTCGTTTTTCATTTGGTTTATAAATGTGGCACATTTTGTCCTAAGGGTAATAGAAAGCCAGTCCTCCTACAGCATTTCAGGTTTCCTAAATTACCATTTCTTATGGACTTGGCTTAGGTGTGATTGGTGCCACCTACCGGACTAAATACATAATTACAGGCCTCCCAGCCCATTTGTAAACACACTAAAAACAACCTTAGGGAATATGATTCTTCATTGGGAGGATGATGCTATAAATAGCTAACTTTGTATTCCAATCACAGTTTTTAGGACTGGAAGAGGAATAAGAAATCAAACTTTAACACTGCCATTGTATTGTTCAGTCCAGAACCCCGGCTTTACCTAGGGACACAGAAGCCTGACTTCCCTGAGTTTGCTTCTTGTTCCATATTTCAGATCTTACAGAATCATTATAAGGACTACACAGAGTGAGAAGTTTTAAATGTTTCCTGTTACATGTGATGGTTGTAAATATTAGATACAGAAAAGTTGAAATGAAAACTTGTCCATGTCTTGTAAGGGAACACATATCTATATGACCCTAGAGCCATGGCTTTTCACATTAAATTAAAACTTGTCAAAGTTTGGTAGTGAATTAATTTTAGGTGAACCTGTAATAAATTTAAGAGGTGTTATAACATTCTTTAAATCCTGTAACTCACAGTGGGGAAAAATATTTTTGAAACAAATTCTCTACCCAGGTTGGCCTTGCCCTCTTGTGCCTTATGCCCCTGTGTCCTACATGCTGGGATTATAAACAGGTGCTTCTGCACCAGCTCAGTTATTCCCTTTCCAGTGCACCAAGGAGAAAGTTCAAAGTTGATCCTGCTTTCTCTTAAACCATCTGTCTTGTTAGTTTTACTTTCCAATAATGATAAAGTAGACCCCAGGCTTGACTATCTTTCTAGAATTAATTTTTTTGTTTCATCATTAAATGTACTTGTGAAAACTATACTGTTTTGTCATTTAGTAATATGAATATTGCGCCTAATCATGGAAGCTCATGCCTGTAATAGTGGCTCTTAGGAGGCTGAAGTAGAAGGATCACTGTAAGTCTGAGGTCAGTATGGGCTACACAGTAAGTTCCAGGACAGCTTGAGCTACAGAGTTAGATCCTGTTTTGTTTTGTTTTTGACCTTTTTTTTTTCTTCAAGAAATGCATGTATGAAAATGAAATCAACCTCAGTAGTAAAAATGAATAAATAATAAGCAACAGACTAAAGAAGCTGAGAAACAATAATACCACCACACTACTCCCCCACTGTTGATAATAGTATGTTTATTTTAACAATTCTCCCATTTTAGTTTGTTTTTCTGTTGTTGTGAGAAAACCTTCTAACCAAAAGCAACTTGGGGAAGGAAGGGTTTATTTGGCTTGCAAGTCCATCATGAAGGGAAATCAGGGCAGGAGTTCAGGGCAGGTTCTTAGAGCCGGGAATGAAAGCAGAGACCATGGAAGGCTGTTGCTTACTGGCTTGCTCAGTTCACTTTCTAATATAACCCAAGACTCTGCCCCGGGGTAGCACTACCCACAGAGAATTGGGCCTTCCCAACTCAATTGTTAATCAAGAAAATGCCCCAAAAGACTTGTCCAATCTAATGGAGACATTTTTCTCAGTTGAAGTTTCCTTCTCCCTGATGACTCTATCTTGTGTCAAGTTGACAAAAAAACTAACCATCACGCCCACCACAAGAACTAGCACTTCTGAGTTTTTTTTAATAATAAAAAATAGAGCTTATAAATAACCAAAATCTATGACTGTTAGGTTTCAGATCCATTTTGGCTCAAATAAACCAAGAATTTTGAATATGTGTAGGCATGTACTCTTTGCTCAGTAAATGCACAGTTAGTAAAACATGGGACCGATGGATGGCTCCTGCCTGTGCCTACAATAATAAGTAGTGACTGAGCACTATAGAACCCTGTAATGTCATTTGCTAGAAGTGAAAGAGAAGAGAAAGCATGGATCTTTGGGCTGCCCCAGTTCAAACTGATTAAGTGTTCTGTTAGTGTGTACAGAAGAGTCTCCTGAGGCACTCAGGTTGAATGGAATCACTAATGGGGGATTGACTTAAATCTGGAATTTAAAGAACTGTTTCCTTACTCTGTGGATCCCTTGAGATGATCTTTGGCTAATTTCCAATGTCAAAAACACAGCTGTCTGTTTTCCTCAAACGACTTCTTTGTCTTTAAATTTCTGAATTAGTGACTTACTGCCTCCAGGCTCTTTCTTTCCAATTTCCTGCTGTCCAGTTCTTCTCAAATTATTAGTAGAAAGAAAAATATGTGGGGAATTCTGCCTGGGGACATGTAGTCCATCCAGTTTTCTAGATTTCCCAAATTTTACCTATTGAAGACAATAGAGTGCTATGTGCCTGGACCAAAACATGCTAAGTTGCTTCATCCAATTAAAAACTGTCACAATAATGACTTGTTAACATGTTGTATTGAGGAACAGATAAGACACAGTCTGGGGAATTTAGGTTCTGGATTCATTTTGGGAATATTATTGAGGATGTCAACATTTCATAGTACAGTCTTGTCCTCTTTATGAAGGTCTGCAGGAAAAATCACTCTCAGGCTTCAGTAACATGAAAATCCTAATCAACCCATTTGTTGTCACCTTATGAACATTGACAATCTATGTTTGCTGGCAAATTCAGAACCAAATTTATTTATTTATTTATTTATTCATTCATTCATTTGTTTTGTTTTTTTCGAGACAGGGTTTCACTGTGACTTTGGAGCCTGTCCTGGCACTCGCTCTGGAGACCAGGCTGGCCTCAAACTCACAGAGATCTGCCTGCTTCTGCCTCCCAAGTGCTGGCATTAAAGGCGTGCGCCACCAATGCCTGGCCAGAACCAAATTTATAACCTACCTCTAACTACCATTTCTATCATACATTATCATGTTTTGACAGAACTTCCCTTTCTTTTCACTTGCCCATCTATTTATTTAATCATATTGTGGAATTTTTATCAGATATTCAAGCCATTTATGGACTAAGTCTGAGAAAAAATATATGCAGATAGATAGATAGATAGATAGATAGATAGATAGATAGATAGATAGATGTAAAGCATTGCCACTCTTGAGGTAGGATCTCTCATGGCATGTCTCTTCTTAAAAATAAGACCAGATTAATAGATCCTTGAAACTTTAAGAAATTTAAAAGTTTCCCTACCCATCATAGCTATCATTTTACTTCTATGAAATACTATTATTTCCTATGATGCCATACTGTCTTTAGGGGAAATCACTGACATTCCCAGAAATACATCTGAATTATTGAACTTGGAGCCCTTGCCAATTATCTCCTACACCTTCAGCTTTGAAGTAACAGTCTATCCAATATGATTTATGAGACCAGTTCTAGTTCTTAAGATGGGGTAAAAGTGAAAATAAAGTAAATTGTTTTGAACGTCAACTGTTATTGTCTACATATACCAAAGATATGGTATATTTATCTTTATAAAGGAAACCTTAATTTCTCCCACAGAGAATCCTTATCTTAATACAATAGCTACTGAATCTACTATTAATGATGATAGTGAAAAAATGTATCTACACCACATTTAATTAACACCGTGTTCCAGGCACTGTGATGCTCATTGTTAATAATCAGTGTAACAGACAAAAATAAAACCTCCAACTATTTACCTCTGATACTGTACCTACCTTGAGGCCTCAGAAGATTGAAAACTCCTTGTTTTGGCTCAAAATTGTGCTGTAGGTACAGTGATAATTTTAAGTCATTGGCCTTCTGGTAGTTCCTCAAGGATTCAATTCTCAGCTCAATCACTTTGCCATGAAAGCCATTCTGAAAGAGGACATTTTTCAAAAACATTCACATAATACTGACTTTTCAAAATTTACTATTACCTGTGTTCCTTTTCTTTCTTTCTTTTTTGTTTTTGTTTTTTCATGATAGGGTTTCTCTGTCTAGTTTTGGAACTTGTCTGGGAACTTGCTGTGTAGACCAGGCTGGCTTCAAACTCACAGAGATTCCCCCTGCCTGTTTCCTGAGTGCTGGGATTAAAGGTGTTCACCACCACAGTCTGGCTACTTGTGTTTCTTTATACAGGTGTTAAGAAATAAAGCACTCATGTTTTGTCTTTTAGAGTTAGGAAGATAATATTTGTTATTTTCCCCCAATTTTAAGTAGTACAAAATCAAAAACATGGGAAGAAGTATTTATTCCAAATTATTCAAGGTAAATGGAGAGATAGGTGACTTCATTTCGCTCCCAAAACCCAGTTCTTTTAACAGGCAGTGGGGGATATGGAAATTGGCCTTAGCAAATATGAACTTAAAAACTTTGACATTGTACAAATATATATATATACCATGTTCAGCCTTGGAAAACCTTAGTACCTGAAGGATGTTGGGATGTTCCTCATATTTGACCCATTCTATTTTCCTCTGTTGCTTTTCCTGGTGGAAGAAAGACCTTCTGGGTGACAAAGTAAATTGAGATAAAAATCAGTTTTCTCAATATCCTGCAACAATCTTATAGCAAAATTATAGTATCATAGATTCACTGTTAGGTTGGTTTTTATTTCTTAAGTTGACCTCCCTATGTAATGCATTCTCTAAAAGCTAAGAGATGAGTGAACAGTTCATTTTCTATTAATGATTTGTTTTGGGAAGATGAGATACAGATGTATTATTATCTCTAAATAAATTTCCACAATAAATTAACAAGTGCTTTGTGTATATGGACTTGTCATTGTTGATATAGATTTTCTCATTTTAGGAAAGCTAACGTGATTTTCTAGAAACCTGTGGTGCTGACATAAATATAGCATCTTTTATTTCTTATAAAATTTGCATCAGTGTAGGAGTATACCACACCTTAAGCAGAGTATTGATTAATTTATCAGTCACAAAAGCCACTACTGTTCAGACTGGTTGTGCTCCTAGCCTCCTCATATCCTCCACTTCCTCTGCATCTGATATCTCTAGCTCACTCTTAGCCTTCATAAAGGGGATTTCAGAGCCTGATAAGAAACACAAGAGCTAAAGGAATAGAGAGAGCTAAAGGAATAAACCATTCCAGATGGGAAAATGCAGTGTCTTTGCAGACCAGAAATCAAATGTACCCTAAAAGTACTGATCCCCAAATTAACCCTGTTTATTAAGGGGTAGTTTCCAACTGTGGCATCAACTTTTATGACATTCTAAGTCCACTCACCTTTCCATCTTTCAAGTCTGCCTTGGGCTTTGTTGGTAATGCTTTCTGTTGATCTTGGAGCTCTTGTGACTCAAATGTCTGTGGAAAGACGTTTTGGCAAAGCTTTATATTAGTGGTAATTATGAAGTCAAGGCTTTTGGTTCCTGCCAGACAGCAACTTCTTAGGGCTCAAAATGGAAATTGTATACCTACCACAGGGATTCAAAATGGTCCCTTAATCTTCCTTTTAATAATAACAACTACTAAGTGAACCCTTATAATATAGCACTGACAGCTAAGCTTCTCATTTCATTACTTACTTTCACTACTACATCACAGTCCTCCTTCTTTAATCTTCACAACTCTGGGGGCTATTTTTGTTTCCTTTTCATCACTGATGAAATTGAGATTTGAAAGGTTAAACCACTTGTTAATCGCCATATGAGGTGATATATTGATATTGTTTATTATTTATTAAAGCCACTGGAGATCAAAATAGCAAATTAGCCATACTAGTTACTATAGAAGCTGGGCAATGGTGGCACACACCTTTAATCCCAGGACTCAGGATTAAGAGGTATACAGATCTCTTGTTAGTTCAAGGCCACCCTGGCTACACGAAGTTGAACCAGCCCTAAAAGAAACAGCTCACACAAAGGTGATCTCAGCACCTGGGATCACACACCTTTAATCCCAAGCACTAGAGAGATATAAAAGATAGGAGCAGGGTCTTCAGTAGTCAGCCTCAGGATTGTCTCCAGCCACGCTGAGGAGAGGCAGCAGTCTGAGGCTTGGTGAGAGCTTGTGGAGACAGGATTGCTATTTCAGCTGAGGTAGAGGTAAGAGATAGTGGCATGGCTGCTTTGCTTCTCTGATCTTCAGCTTGAAGCTTGAACCCTAATATATGTCTCTGGGTCTTTATTTTTGTGCAACAGTCTAGGGAAGCACATGGAGCTGGAGTTAAAAACCAAGTCATTTCTGACTCAGAAGCCCATGTTATAGACATTGTGGACAATTTGAAATGTGAAAAAATTTTTAATAAAAATGTATGTCACAGGTTAAGAAAGGAAGAGAAAGAAGGGGAGGATTTTTAAGAGAGGAGGCTGGAAAAGTGGGTACAGACCAATTAAGTCACAGTAGGGTGAATGAAACACTTTAAATGTTTTTAAAAGATCACTTTGTTGTGCAAATGGAACATGGCTGGAAGCAGAGACATGAAAAACTGAGGAGCAGTGAGAGGTTCTTTGCATTATCTGTAGGACAATACTTTTGAGAGATCCTTAGATGCACACCTTGTTCCATAGCATCTCCATTTCCTTCCGAAGCATCTTGTTTTTCTTTTCCTATTAGAAGAGGAAGAACCAAACAAACAGATGTGTTTGTCCGACTGTTAAAGTTAGAAAAAGCAGCTGTTTAATTAATGGTAGGAAAGAGATTCGTGGACACAGTAAACCACAGAGGAAGACAATAAATGGACCTAGCATTTCATACAGAAACATAAAAGATGATTTTGATGATGATGACAATGATGATGACGGTGGTGGTGGTGGTTAAAAAGTTGTTTCAGTACCAGGCGGTGGTGGCACATGCCTTTAATCCCAGCATTTGGGAGGCGGAGGCAGGTGGATCTCTGTGATTTCGAGACCAGCCTGGTCTACAATCGCTAGTTCCAGGACAGGCTCCAAGGCTACATCAGAAAAACCCTGTCTCTGGAGAAAAAAAAAAGTAGAAAAAGCTATTTTTTAAGCAATTACCTTTTATGGTTGTTGTGTCATGTATCAGAAATAAATTCTTAAGGTTTAAGATGTTCTCATACAACAGTCAGTTGAGGGCTTAGAACATTAACTTTTAATTTTTAAAGAAGTTTATTGACTTCAAAAAGATCCAAGACTATTTCAAAACAAACTTTATTCTTGTAATTTGATAGATATTCTAATCCTTTAGAAATGATAAGAGTTAATATGCTTATATTCACTAATCACTAAATGAAACTTTTTTTTTAGGTCAAAAAAGTAGAATCTTGCTAGCTAGCCCTTGCTCTTTCCAAAATCCAGCCTGACTTCCTTAGCATCAACATGGATTTCCTAGATCAAAGAGATACACATGTTTGGAGCATGAGAGGCTAGAGATGAGCAGTTGTTATTTCCATAGGTGACAACAGTGATTTCTTCAGGAAGCTATGTCCTGTAGTATCTACTAACAACCTCTCACCAGGTTCTGTTTCATATCCTCTGCTTCCTTAATAAGTTCCATGACTGAAGATTCATCACATCCCTTCCCTGACATGATCTGTCTCATGATCTGCAGACTAGAAGAAAAAAAGAGAAATCATAAAATATACATGCCCTTTAAAACAAAACTTAATACCCGAAATCAGCCAGGAAGTGTTCTTCTATTCAAGTTCAATAGGGGCTAAAATCCTAGGAATTAGAGCGGTCCTTAATGTTGAAAGTCTCTGTCACTTGCATGATTCCATTCCTCATTGACATTAGGTCTAGGTAAGTGATCAGTAGTGAGTTTTGTGCTCTTTAATATTCAAAATGTAGGTCTCCAACAGCCAGTGAAACTACTTTCCATTCTCTAAAAAGAATGTTTTACTGTATAACTTGAGGGAAGAAGAACTTCTGCCTCTCTATAGAAGGAATTGAAAACCTTGACATCTTTCAAATTAATTCTAGAATTATTCCCCATCTCACAGATAGGATAAATCTACTTCCTTCTACCCCTGTGAGTATACAGCTCTGATTCAGTATCAAGTCTGACTATAAGAAGGATACTGTTTAAAGACAATCATTAATTTCTGTCTGTGTTATTGTCCTTTTTCTCTCTGGATATGAGTAGAATGCCATGTGTAACATGCTCCTTTGCCCCAACAGAGGTCTATATTGCTGATTTACTAACAGCTGGTGTTTGACCACTTCTTGTTGGTTTTTGTTCTCCTAAAGTCTGAGTTCCTTAAGGGCTTGTGATAAGGGTAGAAAGAAGGCAGATCAACTGAAGTGGTATTTCCTATGATTAAAAAGGAAACAGAGACTTAGTAGTTCCTAAGAACAATGGCTATTCTAACAATGATTTAAGGTCTCAGATGCCTAGGAATGTCTCCCTAGCATAAAGAGTACCCAGGCTCAGAAAAAGTCATCACTCTTCTGCTTGGTATAGAAGGAACAAGTGTTTATCCTAAAATAATTCTACCAACATAAATAATCATTTACCTGTGTCTTGCTTGGGTGGGCACTGGAAGGGTAACTAGCTTCTTGAGATGGGGACCAAATCATACTTATTTTAAAAACTAAAGGATTCCTATGTGCCTTGCTTTTGTAGTGATGAATTCTTATATATTCTACTGGAACTGAATGTCCAAATTTAAAAAGAAAAACAAATCAGTGGTTTGTTTATTTTTAACTATTTTATTACTAATCTATGGTGGTTGCATTCTCCAGCCTTTCTATCTTTAGGATACTGAGTAGGGACCCATACCTTCTTTGTTTTTCCTCCAAGTTACCCATTAGCTTCTGGAATAAGAGAGTGTTCTTATCTTCTAAAGGTTTTAGCATCTCTAGAAGTTCCTGCTTTCTTAACTGTAAGTCTTCATTCAATTCCCTCAAGTAGTTGTCATCTATTTTAGAATTTCTGTGGGAAAAGATAAAATAATCTATCTTTAGCTTGGGTAAATAAAGACCCTTTTCCCCTCCTAGGTAGCTGCCATTTGGCTTTCCCCATCAAAGACTCACTTTTTTGATGAAAAGCAAGACCCCGAAGAGTTTGTGCCACTTGTCATCTTGAAGGGAAATTCCTAATGATAGAGGCCTTGAAAATCTGTACCTTCTTTTTCCAACCAGTTAAGACATCATTTTGTGTTGCTGTTCTTGAAGCTCCTGTTGCATTGACTGATTTTAGCTACATCTTGAGGTCACAATAGCGCCAAGACCACAAAGTCAGCAGATATTTTAAGTAGCATCAGTAGCTGCTTTATGACTGAAAATACTGAACTACAAGATTAATTCTTGTTTTAGGTCTAGCCAAATCCAAATCCCAAGTTTTATTCGGAAATCTTTGAATGAATAAGATAGAATCACAGCAAGTATACCTGCATTATAAAACTACCAATGGATTAGAAAATAGTGACTTATCAAAAAGAACTCAACACCATGGTAACAAACATCGGTGGAAAGCCTGTCTGCTCAAAATGCTGGATTCTGTGAGTGAGGAAAAGATAGAAAGATACCAGCACCTATTTCTGGGAATTTAGCAAAGGAAAAGATACTTCTAACCAACATTTAAAAATGTACAGAGGTTAAACGGGTAAAACTATGAATGCAATGGAGTAATAGATGAACCATTGTCATTTTTCCCAGTCTTTAAAACTATTATGTCAACTGGGTGTTGTGAATCACACCTATAATCCCAGCACTGGGGAGGGGGCCAGAGAAAAAAGATATTGGAAATTCAAGTCAGCATTGTGCTATGTAGCAAGACTGTCCTTCAAAACAAACCCAAGTCAATGCAGAACAAAACTTTGATCTAATGTCAAGGGATAAGAATTGTGGGCACATAGGGAGATGATAGAGTTTGGAAAGATCCACACTATCAGAAGTCTTCCCCAGCCAGATTCTAATCTGGAAGGCTATACTTCCTAAGCTCATCTTAACAGACTGATTTTGACTCTGTTATTTTACATGAATAAGAGCCACATATCTTTTGGACTCTTAAGATCAACTTTCTTATCTATGTCATTTAGGAAGTAGAAGATAGTCCAAAGGATTATATATTTTTGAATGTGCCCTTTGAAAACAGTTTTGTGGATTCGCTTTTTTTGGCTATATCAGATGTGAATTAAGACATGCCTTTTCAAATACCAGTTGACCATTTCTAGCCTTTTTCTAGGCATTTTCTCCAAAGTAATTTCAGTCCTTTATCTTTGGAGAAGTTTGAAAGGCAAACTATTTCATTAAAAAAATACAAAAACTTGGTTTGGGTCTCAGTTTCGCTGTGAGCAGTGGGCCACCTGTGAGCAAGTTTCTAAATTCTCTCAGCCTGATGAGGTTTCCACTTTTATGAAATATTGACCTGATAAACTTGTGAGATTGAAATATATAATGTGTCTGGCTCATGGCATGTGTTCATTCACATTTAGTGAGATTTTGTTCAGTTCTGTTTGCTTAATGCCCCAATTAAGTGGCCAGATATTTTTTAAAGCTGGTATGTGTGAAGCTTAATCACAAGAGCCTTTCACTTTCAAGAAGTAAAGAGACTTCTCCCAAATCATCAGAGTGCCACAAATTATGGATCTGCCCTGGGTTAGATAGGATACTAGCCTTCCCTAAGTATCTTCTACATCAAAGTTTCTCTTAAGACAATCTTTACAAATACTTTTCCTAAAGTTTTCACGTGTCACTTGAAGGTTGTGTGTGACAGAAATGTGATATTAAATTAGAAAAGCCACAGCATGTTAATTCATGCTGGTTGCCCTAGGACTATCCACAAAAATTTTCAATGGAGTGAAGGTGAGTAAAAATGCTCACTGTTAAAAGGAGGTGGTGGGTGAACTAATTATTAATAGCGTCTTAGACTACATATGTGGCAGGTGGTAGCAAATAGTAAAGGACAAAAATGACATTGCTCAGTGAAGCATAGCCTCTTTAAATTTCATGTTGTGACATTTGGCAGGCAGAACTGTGATAGAATATTAAAACATTTAATGGGCAGGCAGCATCCCAACTCACCTTCCTCTCTGTCCTTGCTTGTGAATGTTTCCAAGATGAAGAACACTTGCTATTCTGATGTAGTCTTTTCTACAGCCAATCAGCGGTGTTCATTTCCTAACATTCTGATATTCATGTCTTCAACCTGGAGTATGAATTCCAAGGAGTATCCTTGCCTTTTAACAATGTGTTTGGATATTATAGTGAGAAGCTTTTTAACATAAAATAATCCTCCAAACCAGAAGCCATGTAGTATTGAGGGGGGTTAGTTGATGTTCTGTATCAGAATCTAGTACAGGAAAAAGGGAAGGTGATGTGTTAGATGATCGTTAAACGCAGAGGAACTTGAAGTAATTTTTCCTGAAGTAGAAATCGAGGTCATCTGATGATTGGAAATGTTTGATGGGAAAAGCCTGGGAGAGTGATGGCATGAGAGTTGGAATTGTACATGAGCAGTGAGTGGGAAAAGAAAGCCAACCAGGCAAGAGTATAAAATACTGCTTTATAGTACTAAAGGTCAAGGGGCATTTGGAAGCAGTGATAAGTTTTACCCATCAGTAACTGGCAAACTGAAAGCTACAGTTGAGAAAAATGTGGTGGATTCTGGGCTGGACCTGGCAGAACCAATAAGCAGAAATTCAAGGAAGAAGGGTTTGAGAATATTGATGAGAGTGTCCATCAAAAGATTCACCTAAGTCTTTGGGTATTCAGGATACAAAAAAAAAAAAAAAAGATAACATTGGCAGAGAGAGAACAAAGAAAGGAGTTGAGATTGAAGAGTGTGGAGTAGAAGAATAGAGGGTCAAGTCAATGGATGTACATTTTATGAAATAACTTGTGGAACTTTATCACCAGTTAGATAATCGTAGTAGCAATCATGTCTTCTGCAGTAACTTTGTACCTCTTGCTTCCTGTCGCTGCATAATCACTGAAATTCATGTGGTATCTCAAAATAGGCCTACAAGAGGTTATTCACAATGACCTCATCCAATGTTATAGCATTTGGTTTTAGTATCTGTTAAGAAAAAGCGTGATTGCTCTATAATTAGAGAACTCTGAACCTTTTTAGTGTTAGTTTTGCCAGCGGAAAGTCAAATTAGTCTAATTAAGTCAGGTCTCCAAAAGTAGAAGCAATTATTTTCATATTAATGCTAGAGATTAGGGGGATAGGAGGAGGGAGAGAGGAAGAGTGGAAGGGAATTACATTTATCTGTTGTTTGTTACAATCATTTTGTTGGCTCCTTTCCCTTAACTCATTTAAAAAAATATTGGGGTTTTTGTTTGTTTTTGTCTTGTTTTGATTTGTGTAGCTTGCCTGGCCTGGAACTCAATAAGTTGACTTTGAATGACCAAGAACTCACAGAGATCCACCTATCTCTGCCTCTCAACTGCTGGAATTATATGCACCACCACACTTTCATTTTTATTTCTAACTGTATGTGTATGTGTGGGTATGTGCACATAAGTGTGGTATCTGAAGAGGCCAGAAGAGGGCATTGGATTCTTTGGAGGACATTGGATCCCTTGGAGCTAGAGTTACAGGTGGTGATTAGCTTCCTGACCTGGATGTTGGGAACTAACTTGGGTTCTCTGAAACAGTAGTTTTCATTGTTAGCCACTAAGCTAGCTCTTCAGTGCCCCCAACCCCTTGCTTGGCTCTTTTTTTATAGTTGTCCCAACCTAGTCTGTACCTACATTTAGAAAGAACCCAAACACTTGAGACAGATGAGATAAATTTCTGTTATTCTTGAGACTTCTTGGTTGTTTTTTTTTTTTTTGAAAGAAATACTTTGTCTTAATGTTTCCAGATTCTTGGTATAATGGTCATCAAACAAGTGCATGAATTTTCACAAAGACTATTCAAGAAAAGTATAATCAAGGGCTGGGAAATGGCTCAGCATGAAGACCTGAGTTCAGATCTCAGAATCCATGTGAACATGGCCATGTGTGTACCTGTAACCCCAACAACTGTAAGATATGGAGACAAGAGGATTGATGATGCTTACTGGTTTCCAGACAATTCCAGGTTCATTGAGAGATCCTGAAAGCTAAGGGAATAAGGCAAAGAGTAATAAGGGAATAAGGCAAAGAGTAATAGAGCAGGACACGGAGCATTCTCCCCTGGCCTCCAGTGCACAGACCTGTGCACCTGCAACCCCCTCCCCAACACACACAAAGGAAGAAAGAAAAACAGAGAAAAAAAGAATATTTTTCTGAGAATTATTTCTGGATCCTCAATTTCTGCAAGAATTCTCCAGTAATATGGATGGACCTTGGAGTGCTTCTTAGTCTCATTCCCACTTCCCTTTCCAATGTTTTTTGCTCACTTAATGGAATGCATTGTAACAATCTTGAACCTTATTTCAGTGACTTGCTTTGAGAGTGTAAAATTCTTAAAGGCATTCAAAATTAACAATTCAAAATGTTGGTGTCAAGGCTAATAAAAGTAAAGGACAATTAATGACCAGGAAGTCTGGTTCCAGTTCTTTGCTTTCAGCAAAAAGAAGGGATATTTAACTGAATTACCAGCTTAGGTTTATTGGAATTAAACTTTGATAATGAATTACTATTTGAATGTTGGCTGAAAATTCAGGAGTTTCAAACATTTGAAAGATTGCTATAGTAAATACCTTCCATCTCCATCTATTTGTTTATATGAAAGAGTTTTTCTCAGTGAGGATTACATGTAATATAAACAATATAAATGGAAGTGATTATGAAAGGCTATCTTATAAGTAAGTATAAATACATAGACTAACTAGAGGGAAAATGCTATCATATTAATAGAACTGTTTTACTTAGAAACTGTTTTTGAAATAAACAAAACTTTTGTCACAAATGTGTTACGTCAGAAGTAGACAAATAGATTTGTGTCTTTCTACAATGTCAGAATTTATTGAATAATAATAAATTCTCAAGTTACTTCTGTTTCCTTGACTGCAGTTTTCCAAGTAGTCTCAATTTCACTTGGTAGTCAAGGAATACACAATTCTTTGATTCCAATCTTAACTATCAGTGCCAACTCTCAGATCATATTTTATGTGTTGCCCAGAAAACATACTTCTCTATATGTGGA